TATAGAGCTCCTCCTCAATAGCGGGGGCATAGCTAGAATGTTTTCAGTGGGATGGCCACAAAAAACACAGATCTCAAAAATTTCCCCAAAGCTATGTGGGTGGCTTGGGTGTGTGTGTGGGGGGGGGGGCACAGAGTGACAAAGGGTGGCCTTGCCCCAAGCGGGCAACTGTAACCCTGCCCTGCTCATTAGGGTTACAGGTAAGCAATTGGTGACTTAATACGTGGAGTCAACAATGAATTGGTCACCAGTCAATTGCAGGGTACATATAGATAATTTAGAGCAGAGGTGATTTTTTTGTCAATACCATCCATCCATCTTCCATTTTCTAATCCACTTATCTTCACCAGGGTTACAATGTGCCAGAGTCTATCCCAGCAGTCTTCGGGCAATAGGCAAACCCTCAAGTGTTTGTCAACCAATCACAAGGCACATATACATAGATGAACAACTATTCACGTTCACATTCACACCTATGGACAATTTAGAGTGTTCCATTAACCTGCCATGCATGTTTTTGGAATGCCGGAGGACACCAGTGTGCATGCAGGCACAGGGAGAACATGCAAAGTCCACACAGGAAAGCCGGAGCCGGAATTGAACCCTGCACCTCTGGATTGTGAAGCAGACGTGGTCACCATTCTATCACCATGCCGCCCTCCCAAAGGCCATATTCAGAAAAATCAAACGATGCGAGAGCCACTTTGACTTTATTGACCATGATAAAACTAATCTGTAAATTTAGGTGAACGATATGTGAAGCCGGTGGCCCGGTGGTCCAGTGGTTAGCGCGTCAACCTCACAGTACAGAGGTACCAGGTTCAATTCCACTTTCGGCCTCCCTGTGTGGAGTTTGCATGTTCTCCCTGGGCCTGCATAGGTTTTTCCGGGTACTCCAGTTTCCTTCCACATTCCAAAAACATGCATGGCAGGCTGATTGAACACACGAAAATTGTCCCTAGGTGTGAGTGTGAGCGTGGATGGTTGTTCATCTCTGTGTGCCTTGCGATTGGCTGGCAACTGGTTCAGGGTGTCCCCCGTCTCCTGCCCGAAGACGGCTGGGATACGCTCCAGCATCCCCCGTGACCATTGTGTGCATAAAGCCGTTCAGAAAATGGATGGATGGCGAATTCTATCATGTTTGGAAATATATCTGTATTTCTTTTATAAAACAGCACAAAATGATAAAGGAAAAAGTCAATCATTTTTCAGAATTTTTGGTTGGCCAGTGGCCCTGTATCCCACTAGCAGTGGCCTTCCTGGCATGGGTAATATGTGCAGCGTAACAGAGCGGCATTTCCAGCAGGGGTGCCTAAGTGGTGGTGGTCGTGATCGCACACAGGGCACCATTCAAGTTAGGATTATTCAGAATCAAAAGAAGACCAATCCGTACTTCACAAGAAGAAAAAATTCAATTCCGAAGCATGTCTTGCTGAATTGTTTGTGAATTGTGGAAAAAAAAAGTTCTGAGGAATTAGAATGCGGGCTGCTTAAAAAATATATGTTTATATTCTGATATGGCTCTTGATCTGATGAGCAAAACCACAAGACAAGGCTCACATGCCCTAGATGTCGTAATCTATCCTGAGCTGGCTCACATGAAAAGATCATTTACCTTCATAGCGAAATCAAAATATGTGCATGCCAAGGGAATGTGATAACTGTTTACACACCAAACACAGACAGTCGATAAAGCCACTTCCACTGTTTGTATGAGCAAACACACACTTTGCCTTCCAGACCGTGGACATGACGGGTAGCATGCCAGCTGAAATTGGTCTTTTGGTCACAACAGGGGCATGCATAAGGTTGTGGTAACGGGGAGGCGGCCCTCGACATCCAGCTGGGGGGAAGGGCGTTCACATTTTCCCCATACCGGTCGACCAAAATTTTAAGTCTGCCAGTAGAGCATCTGCTTTAGATCAAAGAGGCATTTTTTTTTTTGCTTCACTTGATTACACAATATTTAGTGACCTTTTTTTAATCTTACCTTTGACAAATAAAGTGAACCCTCACTTTATCGCGCTTCATTTATCGCAGCCAATACATCACCTTTTTTTAACCAAAGTACTGTATTTAAAAAAATGCCTAACGACTCAGAGGTTTTGTACTTGCCTGAACTGTTTCGGCAACGGGCACTCATTCAAGGCGCATGACTGGTGAAGTAAATACATGTACTGCTGCAGTCTTTGTCACAAATATGTAAAGTATAATCACTGTTTACATATTTTAAACGTCCTGGTACCCACATAAACTTACACAAACATTCCTTGGGGGCGGGGAGCAAACCCTCCTTCGCGATTTTTCAGTTATCGCGGCAGGTTCCCTGTCCCCATTAAATTAATTATTTATAAAAGAAAACAGCACAGATGCATTTGTGCATTTCTTTTATTCCAAAATAGATTCATACAGAACATTAGAACTGCAATGCTGTAATTAGATAAAAATCTGACAATGAATCAGTCAATAAAATATATTATGTATAAAAAATAAAAACATAATTACAGTCATGCCGCTACAGACAAAAGCCACCCATTTGAACACAAATACAACCTGAGAAAATACACTGATTCACATTTCCTTTCTGTGGGCTTCTTTATTTTATGAAGTAAACTATTGCCCAGTTTGATTATACTGTACATAATTTTCGAGCACAATTGTCTCGGGGTGTTAAAGTGCTTGTTATGGTATGATGGCAACAAGATGCTAATAATAATAATAATAATAATACATAAAAACTCATTTGCATTAAAAAGTAAAATAATTCAAGTGCAGCTTTGGAGGCAACAGATGTAATATGTCCAATTAGTTGTGGATGAAGTAAAAGTTCATATATTTGTACTAGTAACGCAAGACACAGCTCGGTAAGGCCCTGTTGTGCAAATGGGATGATGTCAAGTCCCCGGTGAAATGATTAACTGACTGGGTTTTTTGTTGGAAAGCTTCTAATTATACATCACACCAGTAAACTTTGGACTTTGACAATTATATGCGCCAGAGTACAACAGCACATACCCATTTGACCCACCCGCCACACAGACCTTCACATTACCCGACCACTGAGGCAATCGTGTCCAAATGTTTGCCAAATCATGACCTTGAGTTTAAATGCTGACCGTGTTGTCCAACTTAAAAGACCGCTTGTAACAACAATACAGTGGCGATGCTGAGTAAACATTTTTGGGAGGAGGGAGGGGGAAGGGGTGCTCCCCCACAATGCCCCCTGGAATGTTAGGGTAGGGAAAAAAAAAGAGCCCCCAACACCCTTTTAACCGATTGACACAAAATTGGATGAGTGTGTCTATCTCAACAGGATGCACTAAAATGTCTCATGGACCCGTAATCCAAACCGAACATCAAATGGATCATTTGGTTCTAATGAGGGTCCAATGTAATGAGATTTTTTTTCAACACATTAGAATATAAAACAAACATAATGACAGTCACTCCCCTCCCCCACCCAGAAATTGTAAAATTTTGGTAGAGTTTTCTTTCTGTTATATCGTTAAACAAATAGCTCCCCTTGGACCAAGAATTCTGTATTGACTGTTCTGCTGTAACTCACATTTTTCTTGTTAGAGACCCCTAAGTACACTATTTTATGTATATATATATATATA